GGGGGGGGCACAAGTCAACATCTGTCTGCAGTAGATCTATGAGTCTGTGAGGGTTCTGGGAAAAGCAGTTTCCGACTTTTGAAGGAGGTTTCTGAGAAGACAGCTTCCCACTTTTTAGGGTTCCTGGAGAAACAGTTTCCGACCATAGGGTGAGTGGAGCCTGTCAGGGTTCTAGAAAAAACAGCTTTCAATTCCAACAATCGAGTGACTGTGTGAGGTTTCTGTGAGTCTGTGAGGTTTCTATGAGGTTTTCAGGCAGACAACCAGTCTGTGGGCTGTGGCGTGCACACTTGGACATTGTTGGTTCTGTTTACTGTTGTGGGGATTCCCACTTCACTTCACGGTTGTTGGGTTGTTGTTTTTTACTGCAGGTGGATTTCTGTGTTTTGTGTTATTTTGATTATTATTGTTTTTCCCTTGTACTTGTAGTGTGCCGCGGCTAGTTTCTCTGTCTTTTCTTGCCCCTGGTCGAACTTTTTCTCTTTTTCTCTACAATAAATGACAGGTCATTGTGTCAATTGTCTTCCCTTTGCTGAATGAGAACAGAAGTAAGTTGTGTAAGGGATTTCGTCGCTGATGTTAACTCTAGTGTGGTTTGCTCCGTCCTTCATTTGTATCAACAGACATCTATCGTCCTAATCTCTTCTCCTTCTTTTGCTGTTTTTTTACTTTACTCTCAAGTAACACCTCTAGTCTTCGACACACTTGACCTATTCGTGTAGCAATTGCTATGAAAACTTATTCTCTTATGACCTTACGCAGTTGAGAATGCAGTAAAACACTTAGAGATCAACTCCCCCCCCCCCCCCAAACGAAAAACAACACAAACAACAAAAACCAACAACTTTTTCTCTCACTTAAACTAAAACTAAACCATTCTCGTCTCGCCTAAACTAAAACTAAACCATTCTCGTCTCGCCTAAACTAAAACTAAACCATTCTCGTTTTCTCGCCCTCCCTACAGGACGGAAGACAAACTGACGTGCCGAGAATGCATCCGGCGTATCTACAAGCAGAGCGGCGTCCGCGGCTTCTACAAGGGCATCAGCGCCTCCTACTTCGGCGTGTCGGAGACGGTCATCCATCTGGTCATCTACGAGGCCATCAAGGCGCGGCTCACACAGCAGAACACCAACCACGACCGGCGGGCCGCCCTCAAAGCTTCCTCCTTGTCCTCCGCTGAGAAGGGCGTCGGTACATCCCCCGAGGGAGGGGGAGGAGGAGGAGGGGAGGGGGACTCCGCGGGAGACAAGGGTTCCTTCCTCACCTCCGACTACCTCAAGTATATGCTGGCGGGGGCGTGTTCCAAGACGTGTGCCACGTGTCTGTGTTATCCTCATGGTGAGTACACGCTTGTGTTGTGTATGTGTTACCCAGACTGTGAGTACACGCTTGTGTTGTGTATGTGTTACCCACACTGTGAGTACATGCTTGTGTTGTGTATGTGTTACCCACACTGTGAGTACACGCTTGTGTTGTGTATGTGTTACCCACACTGTGAGTACATGCACGTCTCGTGTTGTGTGTTTGTTTGTTTGGTAGTTCCTAGACGTGTGCCACGTGTCTGTGTTACCCTCACGGCCAGTACACGCGTGTCGTGAATGTGTTACCCACATGGTGAGTGCACGCCTGTTATGTTTTTGTTTAGAAGTTTAGATTTTGTACTAGTACTAGTTTAATGGACGGCATTTTGAACACTATGTCATATAGTGCCTCGGATTTACTTCTACTGTTTCTTGTTTATTTTGTTATCTTAGGGGTGTACACATGTTAGTGTTCGTTAGTGGATGTTTGCTGGGCTCTCTTATGATTGGTCATGTCTGCATATAGCCTCTATGTGACTGACTGTTTGTTTTCTCTTATATTGAGTCATGTATATCTGTATATCTGTATATCTATATATGTATACATGTATTTATATATAGCTGACTGTTTGTTTTCTCTTACATTGAGTCATGTGTGTGTGTGTGT